GCTACAACAACATCGACTCTTAGGTTGAGGAGGACACAGAGCCTGTATACTGTTGTGAAACTCCTTTTAGGTATCAGAAGTGGTTGTCAGCAACCAAAAAGAAGTGATTTTCAACTAGCAGGGATTGTAAACAGACGTAAGACACATGATTGTAAAACTCGCTAAGGGTATGAAGATGATCATGTAGTCAGGTAGGTAAAGCTTTGGGATAAAGTTTAGGAAAGGTGCGAGAGAGAAATGTGGAGAGTGAGAACCTGCTTGGTCTTTTCAGCTGCTGGAAACCTGATGTTTTCATGGTTTAGATGGTTTGCATCAGGTGAGTACCCTGGCCCACACCACTACCTGCTCTGAGGCTGGACACAAGAAGCTTTTCAAGACTGACCCAAACTGGCATCCATTTCTTCAGAAGTGTGAGACTGTTGCACTGCTCATCTGCTGTTGTTCCAGTGGAAACTGTGCAGGCAGATCATGGAATACCTGCTAGGGAAATGCTTAACAGCAGGAACTTTCCCAGCCAGACCCCTATTTTTTCCATAGCAAATAAGCTCAGGAGGATGGCTGTAGCTCTCAGTACTGAAAGGCTTTTGCGGGTTTTTTTGTTTATTTGGGGTTTTTTAAGGCAGCATGATCACCAGCTTGTCACTTCAGCCTCCTGTACAGCTCTGCCCATCTCATTGCTCTATTTGCCAGAGCATGTTCATAACAAGGCTGCAGAGGGGATTTAGTCCAGTCCCACAGTGCCCTTCCAGCTCTCCCCTGGTTGTGGTCAGTACATGGAGCCACGCTTGCAAGGAGGAGCAGACTGAGACACATGGGTTGGCTGGGAACAGGGCAATATCTGGAAGTCAGGAAACAGCAGAAAATGCTGAGAAAAGGAACAAATCCTGAAGGAAGAGACTTGGCTGCTGAGGAAAGGTTAGAGGAAGGCAGGGAAGAGCCAGCAGCATGCAGCCTGGGATGCAGGACCTGAATGTAGATGAAGTAGCAGCCTCCTGCAGTGTAGAGCTGGCTCTGGTGTAAGAGCTCCTCAATGTATGCACAGTTAAAAATAAAAGGTGTTTGTGCAGCGCTGGCTCTCCACGTGCTGACATGAAGGAGAATGCAAATAGAAGCGTAAGCAACAAGGAGGAGGCGGTTTAATGGCTTTAGGGATTAGCAGCGGTATTTAGAGCCTTTCACCTCTCTGTTCCTAACATAAATCTTAACACAGATTGATGGTTTTAGCCATCTGGCTTGTGTTTGCTTGTGTGCCACGACTAGGGAAACAGAGAAAGAACCTGACCAGCAAGGCAAAAGGAAAAAGAAAGGATCTGACAGAAGAAGGCATCCTCTTCTCCAGTGTCAGTAAGAGCAGATAGGGTGCAATTATTCTGTTTCCCAGAGCTCAGCAGGTAACAAGAGAGAGGACAGTGGAAGAGTCACAGGCATCACTTTGGTACATGACCCCACCAGGGAGCCTGTGACTTACACAAATGTGTATGCTCTGAGCAACTTGCTCCCAAATGTGAAGCTCTTTGATCTTTAGAGATATAGTTACCCCAGGTAACTACCCTGGGAGTTAGAGGATGAGTTTCAATCATAGGTTGGCTTTCAACTGTAAATTATTTTGTACTTGAACAGTGGAAACTGTTCTCCCATACATCACCCATCTATTACCTTAAATTTATGTACTGCAGCCCAACTTAGAAGCTGGAAAATTTTGTGCTCTCAGCCATATGACACATTTTGGATTAGAAGGTTTCCTTGTGTCCGAAGCCTTCTAAATACTGATGTGACTTTTCTTGGGGATGGGCTGACCTTGCTGTTAGTTGAGTCACTGTCAGATTTCCTCTCGCTCCAGGCTGCAAGGTCTGTCATTCCTTTCCCAGCATGGTCATCTTGGTAGAACTTCCTAAAATCTGGGGCTTTAATGGGGAAGCCATGTGGAAAGTCAGTGTTCTGCTTCTCCAGCCAGAAGAATAACCAAGAGTGGGTAGATGTGTGTGCAGACTAGAGCCTGTTTTCCTAGTCACTTATTTTTCAAGGGTGAGAGGTACAGAGAATCTCACCTCTGTTCTTTCCAGTGGGGGATTTTGGATAAGAAATATTGACAATATGTCTTTAAGGAAGTGTTTTCTGCTGTTAAAGATTCACTCTTGTGTTCTTCTGTGTTTTTACCCAGTTTTGCTTTGGGATTGACTGTCTGGTGCATATTCCAAACCAAAGCAAACCTCTAGAAGGTTTCCTCCGGATGGGGTAAGAAAATGTATAGGGAACAAAAAAAAAACCCCAAACAAACAAAACTAGGTGTAACAAATCTAATTTATAGCAATCTTGGTACTGATTTTGCTTTCTATTAGGCATGTAGAGCTTCAGTAAAAAATATTTTTACTTTCTTTTCTTTCTTCAGAACCAGTAACCAAGAAACTGCCTGTAATATCATTTTTTTGAGAGGGAAGGTGAATGAATTTTGGATATAGACTTCTAAAACACTGGTTTTTGTCTCAAATAATTGGTTTTGGCATAGAGCTCTGTCAGCTAAACATGGTGTTTATCACTTCAGTCAGCCACACCAAGGTCAGTGAAAGAGACTGCTTTCTATTTAACAGGGAAACACTTCCACCAGATGCATTAATAGTGAGAGAGTAAGAATTATAGACATATGAAATGGCTGAGGACTGCTGTGTGCCAAAGTGAAACTCAGATTCAGATCTAGATTGGGGTAAATTTTTCAAAGGCATCACAATGACCCAGAAATCACGTCACCAAGTGATTCGGAGCCCAGCTTCCATTCTCAGAAATTATGTAGTGACTTCACTGCCTTTCAATGAGCCTTAGGTTCCTTTTCCCAGAAAAAACCCTCCAGCCTTTAATTCACAATTAGTTCACAAAAGCAGTCTTTGCCTCTTCGTAATTATATTGCATAATGACTTCCCTACTTTTTAATAACATCAGATTTCTTGTCTGTGTCCATTATCACCAGCTTAGAAGCTATTCTGTTGCTTTGGGAATTTTGTGTTCCAAGTCACTTACAGAACTATAATTAAGAACTTCCACAGAAGACCAGGTGATATATGTATGTTAAGATATTATATTCTGCTGATTTAATGTCAAGTCTTAGATTAATTTGAAATTTTGTCATGCTGGTTTCATTATAAACGCTTCCATGGAAAGAACATGTTATTGGAAACTGAATAATTAATAATCTCTATGTTAACCAAATTTTTTTTGAGTGGTTTGCTGAAGAATGTCAGGGCTCCAGTTGAAAATCCTGGCTCCCTTGAAGTCAATGGCAGAATTCCTATGGGCTTTAACAAGAGTTTTCATTTTCTTATCTTAAAAACTACTTGTCAAAATTCCTTAAGGTTTCTGTGTACAAATTTACATTTGTACAGTAGAGTCCTGTGTGCCTTTTTCACCTGCAAAACAGTTGTTTGCAGAATAAGGAAAAAGGAAGTAAGGTGTGCAGTGACTTCTTTCAGTCCTGATCCTTTGGGCCAGACTAAAGTGTATTCAAGAGAAATATAATTTATGTCATTTAGTGGTGTCTGGAAGCTCAGCCCTCCAGATCATGAGTTGGAATGAGGCAGAAGGGGGAGAAGGATGGATGCAGATCCATCTATTGTAGATTCAAAAACATCCATGAAAATTCTCACACTCTTGATTTTAATGCTTATAGAGAACGTAATTCCCAGAGGAGGTCTCTATTATTAACCAGTTGTTCTGTTCTCGTGGTACTTAAAGTTTCAGGCTCCAAATCCTGATGAAAGCAAAGTTTAGTCCTCCTAGCCTGTGTCACAGCATTTGGATCTCAGCAGAGTTTATGGTGTGAATCAGGACCTAAATACTGCTGTTAGTTTCCGTTACCATTGCTCATAACATTGCAAAGCTCCCTTTGGTTCAAATGGTGGTGGGTCATAATATGCACATATGCAAGTTTGAAAGATGTTAAGATTTAGACAAAAATTGTAGGCTTGCTGCAGAATTTGCACATGCCCAAAGCATAGAGGCAAAATGGTTTGGGTTGAAAGGGAAATTAAAGACCATCTGGTTCCACCCCCCTGCCATGGGCAGGGACACCTTCCACTAGACCAGGTTGCTCAGAGCTCCATCCAACCTGGCCTTGAACACTTCCAGGGATGGGGCAGCCACAACTTCTCTGGGCAACCTGTGCCAGTGCCTCACCACCCTCACAGGGAAGAATTTCTTCCTAATATCTAAGTTAAATCTAATTTAAACCTGCCCTCTGTCAGTTTAAAACATTCCCTCAATAAAAAAGTCCCCCACCAGGGACTTCTATTTGAAGAATATAAACGAGGTCTATATGAATCAAGAACATAGTTGACATAAACTTCTTTGATCAGTAAGCTCTCCATTAGATGATTAAGGCTCTGGAACACTGAATTACCAAGATGTAAACTAAAGCTAATAATTTTTTTTTCCCTCAGCAAAACAACTTGTGGTAAGAAATTATTTTGTTACCAGGATGCAAGTTTTTTGCAAAAGAAATCTGCCTTCTTTGTCTGTCAGCTTAATGATTACAAGTGCTCTGTTCCTGGCTAGCCCAAGTTTGGTCTTCACAGAATCATTTTGGTCTTAAACCAAAGTCCTGTCTGACAAATTTATAGTAATTCATGACATGGTATGACTTCTGGAAAGTTAGTCCTCTTCTTACCATAACCAGTTGTTCTAGGGAAACAAAGCAAACTGAAACTTGTCAAGTAAACAAAAAACTCTGCTAGGAAAGGGAATGTAATTTCATTTTGTACGTGTCTTAATTTTCAGAATTCTGTAAATTATGCAGAATTTTATTCCCTGTCTTTATTCCCTGCATTTCCTGTATCTAGTAGTAACCAGTCTAGTATAAGACCCTCCTTTTCCCATCCACCTCCAGATTTCACTGCAAAATGTTAAATGGGAGCAGGCAAACTAAGGTATGGGCAATTTGAAACATGGAATATTTCATTCTAGATGTTTGCTGGTATTCTTAGTGACCATTTTCCTTCCATTTTTTTTGACAGATGATGCTAATGAAGAAGGGCCTGAGCTGAGTGAAGAGACAGGTCAGTAAAGAATATTTTAGGCTAAAATATATCCGTTCTCCAAAGCATAAAATAAAATGGAAAAAATCTAGAAAATAATTACCTTGGTTGAGATAAGCAGTGCCGATCATCTATGGCCAATGTTATAACTGTCATCTCTAATTTTTAACACAAAATTAGACTAAACCATCTCTGATAATAAATAGTCCATGATAAGACTGGCTGAGACTACCTTTTTAATGTTATCATCTGTTATGAGCCTCTGGGTTGCTTTTTATCAATATCTAGTATGAACATGAATGGGAAATAATTACAATTCTTCAGTCTCTTTGTCTGTAAAAAGGTGTGAATAGAGCAATTCTTGAGTCATTTTCCACTCTGATTAGTGATCATGATTTGTTTGCAATGGAAACAGTAGCCAAACTCTCCCACAAACTCTTAAATACATTGAACTTGGTTGGACAATATTTCAGAGGGTTTTTTCCTCATCCTTCTAGTTTGCTGTATAAAACGTGTCAGTGTTTAGGGTTTGTGGATGCAGAGAGACTTGAAATGGAAATGACTGTCAGGTATAAGGAGAAGAAAGGGCCAAGGAACAGGAAAAGGAGAGGACAGAGGATTAGGTAACTCCCATGAGGACAAAACCTTCCATTCAGAAGACTTCTGCTAGTTTTTTTAAGAGAGCTTCATCCACTTAATCTTCTTGATCAGGTTTTTTGTAACAGGCTTCCACCACAGCACACTGTGTTACTTTCCCTGCTGACCTCACCTAGAGCTTCTCAGTGAACATCTCCTGTTCCACGTGGATTTTTGAGCACTGAAGGACCTCCTTTTATGTGCAGCATGGCTCCCTGTGCTCCTCTGCCTCTCCTTCCAAACCAGCTAGTACTCATCCTTGACAGCACCATCCCCCTAGGTCTCTGTGATGCTGATCCCATCATAGTCCAGTGACCGTGCAGGAACATCCAGTTCTCTTTATGAAAAAATATGGGATGAGAAAGGAGAACCACGTGGAGAAAGGCAGAGATATACCAGCCAGAAAACAGAGGTAAAAACTTTTGAAGCAGTGTGCTGGCTGCTTAAATTGGCAAGATTGTCCTAAAGACAAATGGATTATGATGATTTATGCAATCAGTTAATTAGCTTAGAAATTAGAAATACTTGAAGAATGGTGCATATGCATAGATGTGAAAACATGGATATACACAGATAGATATGTGTTATGCTGATGGATTAGCACATTCTTTTATGGCTGTTCTGGCCTGTTGATTTTATTACATATAATTATAATTACTTTTTGGTGTCAAGATTACCGGATAGGAACTTTTAGAAATTTTAATACAATTAGTGTAATTGATGTAGTTGTACGTACATACATAAAAGTAGAAAAATAAAGGCCATCCTTATACAGCAAACATTTGCCAAAGATAATCCTACAGTTAAATTTTCAGCATTCATCTAACATTTCCAAATACATTTTTTATAGTTGTCACGGCATGTATACTTCTATAAGTGAATTTATTTTGCATTTTTGCCTTCTTGTTTTTATGGAGATTATGCAAATTACATCGGTGGAGACTTTTTTAAAAAGCATTTTAAATTAGAATTTAAAAGAAGTACAATTCCACTAATAGCCAGTCTCTTCTTTTTTGCCTTGTATCCTTCACAGCTTCATTAATTTAGGTAAAACTACATAGCCACTCTGGGAAATTACCACTGAATTAAGTCATTTGAGGAAGATATTTCCCTACCTGTCTCTTTCTTTATGTGTATGAGATAGATGAGATCAAAACTGTCCTCACAGATCTGCTATGAGCTTTGTCAGCACATCCTTGGTTATTTCTTTATCAGTTGGTTATATTTTGGAATCAGTGCCTTGGCTGTCAGCAATCAGTGCCTACATGGCTAAAAATAAGTATCTTTTGTATATCTGCTCCAGTAGTGTTGGAGATATACAAAAGTTGTTCCATTTTGACCTATTTCTGTATGGCCTTTTTAATGATTGTAGGATGTATTTACTGTTACTATAAATATATACATAATTTCTGCACAGAGGGGACTTCTCATTTTTATACTAAGATTTTTACCAGTTTGAAGGATATTTGCTTTTTAATGTTCAAAGGGGAAAATAGAGTAGTAACTTCTAGTCACCACTTCAGGATATTAATTGAATAATCATTCTTCATTCCACTTGACTTCATGGGTCATGACTGCAGCAGATGGAGTCAGCAGTTGGCACCAATATTGATGACCCTGGTTTTTTGAGCTGCCCATATCCAATCTGCTTTGGGGCCTTTTCTCCAATTCTTGTTCTTACGGTGAAAAAGAGATGTTTGATTCCTGGAGAGTACATGTTGCAGAGTACATACTTGTGTAGGACCTTCAGCAGAGATTGTAATCTTCTAAATCTTACCTAAATTCCTGTGCCTCCAACTTCCTTTTGGCTGGCTGTTTCTGAGGGCCAGTATGAAACCAAGAGAAATCAGGGAGAAACACAGGGTCACCAACCCTTTGGAGAATGTAGTAGGATGATGAGGTGGAGGTTACAGAATCAGTCCTACTTTAAACTTGGTTTCAAGAATTAGAGGAAAAAAAGCTGATCCTGGTTTGGTGACAGCTGAAGGCAGTGGGAATAGGTCCACTGGCTTCAATGCACACCAGATTAAGCCTTAGGAAAAGAGAATTAACTGGAAGTAAGGAATAACAGATGACCAAATATGTGTATTATTGAGTGATAGATGCATTATGAAAGTAATCTGTCTTGTGTTTCTACCACCCTGAAGTGCAAATATCTCATTACACACAGAAAGGCCTTTCTTTCTATGATTCCTCTTAAAAATAAATAAGGGAATATCTCAATTACATCTGCCAGATAATATCCATTAATATCTACATTAATGCTATAAAATCAACAACCACAAACAGTCATTTTAGCAATTTAATCACATAACGTTGCTGCATATATTGGACATACTAGAATAAGAAAAACATTTAAAAATAAAAATAATCCAGTTGTTTTAAATATACACACTCAACACCACTCTTTTAATGGCATTTTACTCATGGGACTTTAACCCATCAGTCTGTTATTCTGGATGCTGTGTCTTGGAGCAGCTGCTGACTTAATGGCACCATTTAATTCGAAGTGCTCTAACGTTATCATATGTCATGCAGTTGCTGTTAGAATGATTTGAGTCAAAAGGGCACATAGAGTAATAGTGGGTACAGACCTGTGCAGTTCTGCATCTCAGCTTTCTTTTGTAAATGATTTCCTGCATAAGCCAAGAGAAGGACCAGATGACCCAGTAATCTTGTCTACCTTTATCTTCAGTGATTTAACACTGCAGAGTCACAATGCTTTAATGTTTTAAGCTCTATTAAGAGGAGATTATTCTAAACTTTAACTTCTGAAGGATTTTGCTTTTATACCCATAGATTCACATATCCATGCCCAGAAGCATGTGAAATAAACCCTAATACTGCCAGAATTACAGTGACTGCATGGGGAAATTACAGAAGCATGTGCTACTTAGAAGTTTCTTACACAATAGTATCACATTATTATGCACTGACATCAGTTAACTCTCTTACTATTAAAAAAAAAAGATTAACGAAAAAATAAACATGCAGGAAAGAGTTTCAGTTCCCAATCTGTATTATTCCTCAGCCTGTTCAGCTTCACTCTCTGTCAGGTACCAAAAAGCTTTTGACCTCAGCTGTATGTCTGTTGCCACACTACTGTCATTTCCCATCAAATAGTTGTTCCTAATAAATGCCCTGCTGGTTATCCCGTTTCTGTCCTGACCATCCTAATTAGCCACCTATGATTACTTACAAGCCACAGCCAGCTAGAACAGCAAGAGGAAGGATCTCATTCACACTAATGAGGGAAACCCTGCTATAATCAGGCTGTATAAATACAGAATTTCTTTGTTTGTTCCACTGTGTACACACTCTTACACCTGGATATTGTTTTTTGGAGGAATAATCTCCGTTTTCCTGAGATGAAAATAGCAATCACTTGCAACCAAGCAAATTTGCAAGTTGTGAGGGATTTTGGGAATAGGTTACTTGCAGACAGACTATGAGATTTAAGTGACTTGTTGACACTCTGAATTAGCCTGTAAAGAATAAACATTTCTCCCAGTGGTGGAACTCAGAAACCTTTTTGCACAAGTGATCACAATTAGAAAAGCTTTTAATATGATCAGTTCAGACACCTGTCTAGATGTGCTCTTTTTAAACAGAAATTTGCAGACAAAATGCTGTAATATTTGGCTAACTGTTATGAAGGACATACATACGATTGGGGAGCTGAAAGGGTTAAGAGTTGTATTTTGAGCATGATAAAAAGATTTTATTTTGAAGCCCACACAAGTCCTTTTCTGTCTCTGGAATGAGGGATATCTGCTAAAAAGAGGTGAAATTGTGATTGAAATCTTGTTCTCCTGGGATGCTGCCTTTACATCCTTTTGTGAGCATTTTGAAGGTTCTTTGTAGAGTGCAAAAAGATCATTTCTTTTGAGATAGTAACAGTTCTGACTTCTCTGAATGCATGCCCTCCTCCCTCTCCTTCTTTGTGCTGTCAATTAAGATGTTGGTTACATTATCTAATGTATTCAGATGGTCCTGAAAGACCAGGCTGGACATTTGCACTTAAACTTGATTGACATTTGACATGTGGGACTGGAGGAAGCTTCACAGATTGGTTGGATGATAAAATTCATCACTAGAGAGGCAGGTGTTGATTGAAGGATTTCTATTGATTCAGTCCCCTGGTGTGAACCATTCTCAACCAAAAGAGAGAATGTAGCAGAAAGTTCAGAGTGGCATTGGAACCAAAGAAGCCATTTGTTGGTATGGTCCACTATAAATACTCAAGTTATTTTTTAAAAGAGAGTGTTGGCAGGAATCAGTCTTTACAAGTCCGGTTATTTTCAGGATCTCTCTTTTGTATTGAAATTCTTGTTGGCCTCTATCAGTGTTGCTCCTGAGTAACCCCCTTAAAGGGTTGACAAAGCGTGTCTTAATTTGGCAGCTTTTGCCTGTATTTTTCCCCACGGTATTTCTAGTGGTTACTCTTACATTATCACCACTCCAGAAAGAAATTCCTCTTAGCACTTGAAAACTCTTGTTTTCCTCAAAATATTGTGTTTGAATTTCAAATTCAGATGAGCAAACATGATGACATGACACATGACACGTCCTGTATTAGGTGCTGTCAGGAACACTCTACCACCTGGTACCAAGCCAAACCTCAAAGCTTGTTCTGCTCTGCAGTAACTGGCTTTATTTACCAATTGCTAAGGGTAAATTCATTCCTTGAGCTCTATGGAGTTTTAGAAAGAAAGAGAAATTCCATTCTAATAGAAATTTGTAAGACCAATGTTCATTTTAGTCTTTTGTTGGTTTTTGTTGTTTGTTTGTTTGTTTGTTTTTTTGCATAATACTCATTACTTAAAATTAAGCAAGTGAGTTGGAATTTAATTACTAACATCCAGATCCCCATTTTGGAATTTTTGTTGACATTTTGAGCTACCCTGCCACCTTCCTAATCCGTAGTTCTTCTGGGTTTTTTGAGCATAAGTACAGAATGACCAGTTTCCCAGGAGGGCAGGCAGACAATGTTTCTTTCTTCCCTGGGCTCCATACAAAGCCAACGATTCACTCTGGTTTTGTCTCTTGAATGAAAACAATGTTCATAGAATCATAGAATACCCTCATTTGGAAAGGACCCGCAAGGATTACCTACCAACAGTAGAGTCCAACTACCCCTTGACCCTGCAAGTTCCCTTTTCACGTCCTCACTTACTACTTTCATACATCCTGGTTTGAAACTTTCAGCACTTTGGTTCTAGATGTCTGTAATTGTGGAAGGGTAGAAGATAAAAGGGGAGAATCTACAGCTCTTAGCACAGCAGAGTTCTTTATGAGGTATCTGGTTGCCAAAATATCTGTTAAGAAACTTTAACATAAAGAGTAGATGATTAAGTGGGCTATGTGTGGCTGCAGAAGAGATCCTGGGAGTTTTCAGAACACTTAAGCAATATATGATACACATGTAGATAGTTTTTTCCCAGTTGTTAATTAGCCAATCAGTTTGAAGTAATACTATAATTCTCATTTTCTCATGGTGCGTCAATAAGGGTGAATCAAGTGAGGTCACGTCTTTCTAAATTTCCCAGTTACAAGTGGTGAAGGTTTCTTTCCATTATGCACAAAACTATGTTTTCTTTTGACCACAACAAATCAGAAGGTTTAACAGAAAGTCTAATGACAGAAAGTCATTTTCCCGTTGCGGTTGAATACATTCAGTAGGTACAATGAATTGAGTTTTAATTGTCTGCCAGTCACTGCTTTCATTGTCAAGCAATGATGTTTGAAGAATGTTTTAATTAGGGAACCTGCTTTCGTTAAACATCTTAATTTATGCCTAATTTCCAGCTTGGCCTCTCTTTTTACCAACAGGCTTTCTGTGCTACCAGTTTGTGCCTCAAGGTGTATCATAGCAAACAAATAGTAATTTCATCCTTTATGTTAAGATGACAGGATATTTTGAAAATGTTGTAGAAAAAGTTCATAGTTTTTAAAGTTTAATCACCTGATATTAAACACTGTGAACTTCAGTTCCTACAAATAAGGAAGATCTCACACTTGACTGTGCCTTAGTTACTTGTTTTACTCCTTTTCCTCCATCTTCACGTTACTTACTGGTTGGAATGGATTTTTTCAGCCATAACGTTTCTATCTTGTAAAGCTTTCATTTCCTTAACTTTACTTCCCTATCAAATTTGCTTCCCTACCTTTCATTTCATTACTAATTTCAGTCAATATTCATTTGTTACTGTGTTACAACTGTGAATGGAGAATTGAGCTGAGAGGGAAAAATCATTTTGTTCAGATTGTTTCTCCATGGTTCCATAATGCAGTACAATATATACTATGTCTAGAACTAGGAATTACAACATTATTTTTTTATTATTTCTGAAGAGTTTAAGAGCTTGTGAAGGAGTATGTTATTTCAGTGTGAGCTTTCTTCGTGCTGTCATGTGCAAGTCCAGCCCAAGCTGAAAGATACCTATTATGACTTTTATAACAAATGATGCAGTAATTAATTTTAATAAAGAAAGATAGGCATTGGGTACTGAATGGAGTGCTGAGATAAAATGTACTTATAGTTGTGGTATCACACAGGATAATTTCTGATAAAATAAAACAGTTTCAAAAGTAATATACATAAATTTGTAATTTTTTATGTTCAAATAAGGATTGGAACAAAAAGGCCAAACTCCATCTCCCACAAAGAGCAAAGCGGAGCAGCCTGAGGATCTGCAGGATGATGCTGAAGGTAGGTGGTCTGACAGTTTTTCAGAGCTATTAATCAGTTTTACATTTGGAAAAGTTTACTTTGAATTCTTAGGAAAGAACTGGAAAACTTTCAGTTAATAATGCTGTTTACACATACTTGGAAAGTTCTTTTTGGCCTAGACCATAAGATTACAAGTCTTCTGAAGTATATTCCATCCCAAGGAAGATTCACAATTATAAATGCTATTTTTATGTGGTGGGACTGCTGATACATCTTGATAAATTGCTGCTGTTTTATCTCTAACCTGTTCTGACTTTATGTAATTAATAAAACCAAATGTAGTGCATGTTGTGCAGGGCTTGGATCATAATCTGGTTGGTTAAGTTGGTAGCTGCTGCAAAACACAACTTTCTTTTTCTACAAGAAATTTTTGCTGTATCCTTTTCCTTCATGTAGTGTTTATTTCTCTAGACCTTATCCAGTGTAGTACATCTATCCGTGGTCAGAAGTCACAGGTGCTTAACATTATGCCTATTGTGTTGTTCCTCTAAGAGTACTTCCTGCGCTTGAGTCTTCACAGGGCAGCTTGTCCATGTGTACAGAGGTAAATGTGGTCTGTGTTGTTCTAAAATTGGATCAAAGTATCTTTTCTTAATCTGTATCTCATTGGTAGAGTTGTTAAAAGATGTTAACATCAAAGACTTACATTCAGAGTGTGCAGTTTCACGTTGCTCTCAGATATGTGGAAGAGCAAAACTCCCCAGTGCCGAAGAAATTCCCCTTCTGCAAAATAGTTAAAAGGATGAACCTTAATCCATGACAGTTCCTTATCATGGATTCTCTTTGACCTAATGTTCCTCAAATGACACATCTCATTCTGCGCCTCAACCAGTGGCTCCACAATCTTCAGCATTTTGACCTAGCGCCGTGTGTTCAGCTCCTAAAATATTCTGACTGGGGTATAGTGTGAGTCATAAAGAGCAGAAAAATGTTAACATCTATCACTTTAAGTAACTGCTAGTAACATCCTGTCACTAACATTGTGACTGGTTGTTAATGGCAAGTACTTAAAGCAATAGCTGTCATCGCCTGGAAGGTGTGGGGGACCCAAGAAATTTCATCCCGCCTGGGTGTCTTTCCTTTCATGCTGCACTGAACCTAGATGATATTAAAATACCAATTTTATGTTTGGATTAGAGAATTCAGCGATGACAAACCACATGTCCATTTGTATGCAGGCTAACCAGCGGGTGGGATCGTGTTGTCGCTTTCAATATTCCTGAACAGGCGAAACAATAATAGTTTTATGATATATTCTTACATGGAGCATGGCTAAAACTTTTCATTGTATCAGTGTCTTTAAAAAAAAAAAAACAAATCCAAAACAACAGGAAAAAGTTTTGCAAAACTGTGAGGTTTTTTCCTTCCATTTGAAAATCTTCTTATGCTTTTTCACTGTTTCCATGGCTCACTAGATACAGTTTCCTATTTTCCTGTGCTTGTCTATGTTTCCTGGTGACCTACAGTTCACTTTATGGAGCACAAATAAATGCGTTGGAAGGGCGAAGTAAATAGTATGGCAAGGGAACGATTGCATTATCCTCAAGCTGTAAAATGCCTGAACTCCTTGAATTTGATGCCATACAGTAGATTTTGCTGATGCAGAATTGAGGTCTGTAAAACATAATCACTGCTGCAGGATTTAATCTAGCTGGTGATGGAGCCCTCATCTCCTTAGGCAGGAACTGGACCTGTAATGTTTAGGATTGAAAGTCTAAATTTAGGCTTGAGAGTTGTTGTGATGTGGGAAACATAGGTAATTAAAGTGTTTGCTGAGGGGCCTGGGGAGAAACCTGGATTGGATTTCTGTGGTATTACCTGTGCCTCTGGAAGAGGAGACAAGCAGTTGGGCTCCAGACACTGAATTCCTATAAAGTTGCCGAGTGGCTGGAGTCTAATGTATCACACCTGTGAGCCATTTCCATTGAAGTAAATGGGATTTGCACACATTTGTCTGAGAAGAGGATTTAGTTCCTCGTGGCTGTTGGTTTTGAGTAATTAAAAGAACTTTTAATGGGGAGCCTTAGAGATTATGAAAACTCCAACTATGTGACATGAACAACAATTACGTGTCTGAGTAATTTTGTTTAGGTAGGAGTTTGTCTTCACTTCCAAAAAGCTACCTTGTTCTCTTGTTTTATTTTCTTTTAAAAATAAAAAGAATTACTGAAAAGCTAATGCATATAAACAGTCTTGAATAAAACACAATAAAGCCAAACTCTTCCTGAGGTCAGCTTGGTTGAATTTCCCTCACAGTAAAACTGAAGTGCTTTATGGTTCAGTGTGTTTTGGCTTTGGGATAGTTCACATGCTTTAGGTACCCTAAGTTTAAAAAAAAAAAAAGAAAAAGAAAAACCCATGCAAAAATCACAAAACCAAAAAACCACAGTAAACAAAAAAACAACCAACAAAACAAAAAAGCCCGCAAAAACCCATCCCATAGCTTTTAGCAATAAAAGCAAGTCCAAAGATACTTACATTTAACATAAGATATTATTTTCCCCTTGGTAACATGACTAGCAATAAAATATTTAACAAATATACGCTGAGGCACGGGCAGAACTCAATATATTTTCCTCTGCTTGGTTGTCAGTGTCCTTTTAGACTGAAGATGGGAATACAACTTGCAATTTTACCAGCCTCATGCCTGCCCTTGTGGCAGTCTCTAAAACCTATTCCACTGAGTTCAGTAATATTTCTGCAGTAATATTTTTCTCCAGCATGCCAGGCTGGTTCACTGGCTAGAGGTAATAGAGCAATATCTTTTCAGTGCATGTACAAACCTCCACAGAAGATCAGGGAAAGTAGGTTCCTTCATTATTACCCTCTTTGCAATCAAGGAAAGTTGAGTAAGTGGCTGTATGAAAAGGAGCTTGTTTTGCAGTAAGCTAAAATAAACACTTGACATGCTAATTAAAGCAATTTTATATTGAACCTCTAAAGTATTAATGGTGTCTGTTATTATGCTATTAGATAGATTGTTCTCTGCCTCCAGACTGTTGATAGAGAAAAGCAAGTGTGAACTGCACAGCAGATTCTCATGTCAATGGCTGTATTTGGTAGTTTTTCATTGTAGGGATACTGTCTGGGGAAATGGATAGACTGGATACTAGGAGAAACATCCTTTACTCCCAGGTTCCCTGCAGTGTTTTGGGTTTGACATATGCCAACATGCAGTGTAATTTTCTTTTTTTTTTTTCCTCCCTCCCCTTTCCTGCATCCTGGGAGAGTAAAAGCAGCCAGAGATAATTTTGCCTTTCCCTCAGTCAGGTGTATTCGATGATTGAGTGATTTTAAAGTCTCAGGTGAGCAAGATGTGTTTGACACTAAACAAAACTGAGCACCTCTGACCTCAGTAGCTCCATAACACAATCCTAAAATAGTTACATAGACAAAATGGCAGTGCTTGTCACAGCGTAGCAGCCACAAGTTGGCACAAATGCCACAGGTCGCCCATTCTCATCCTATTTGTTGTCACCAAGCAAAAGCAAACCATTTTTACAAAAGCCTAACAAAACAAAAATTTAAAATGCTCCTTGTTTCTCTTACTTACCACCCCACGTCCTTCCATATGTAATGAACAGCATGGGAGTGTGCAATAGATTTTCCCAATAGTGGGATAAGCAAAACTGTTTGCCCTTTCCTTCTTTATGGGATTTCTCAGATATAACATGGAGCCTGCCCAAGAGCTGCCCAATCCATTCTCACCATGGTCTGTGGGGGACCAATATTGTATCAAAGGTGAGTAATATATCTGATAACAGCAGCACAAATGCCTGATCTTCTCCTCCTCCGGCAGAAAAATTATCAATCCATGCAGCAAAAGCCGTTTCTGTCCCTCTTGAGGTCAGGACCCTCCTTGCCCTCCTTCAAGGGGTGTGAAGACAGACCTAGAGCTCTGCAAGTTGTCTTGCTCCAGCTTTTCTCATATGCTGCTCCCCAGATGAATGCCCAGATTCCTCCTGATAGATTGATAGGCTGTTGGTCTCCCGTGATCACCTGTGCTGAGGCTTAGTGTCTGTGTGAGGAGCTGGACTGTTTGAGTTGTTCATCCAGGATGAATTTTATCTGCTTTCCATTCACTTAGTGGGAAGGAGAAAAGTTTGATGGATAAGCCAAGCCAGGAAGGTCAAAATGAACACAAATCACCTTTAAGAGAGTTGATAGAGTTGGTTCCTGTGCCTGATGGGGTCATCACACTTCGTGCTCTTGTCTTTCAAGGGTAACATCACATGTCTGAAATGTTGCTTGGCAGTGTCAGGAGTCCAGGCTCACCAGCAGGCACCTGCCTGACTTGGTGAATGCTCTGTCCATGAGAGATGTCAGTCTGGTGATTGGAGTACACAGCAGAAATGAGGTGAAATGAAATGGCATCTGATCTTGACAACTCATTGGTCCAGCAGGTCAGAGCCATGCAGTAGGATGCTCACTGAGAGGGAGACACCCTGACTCCTCATCCCTTCTCCCAAAAATGTTTTTGTGCAATGATAAAAAGCACGTAGTTTTGGGAATAGAAAATAAATCTCAGTGTGTAAGACTCAGGCTTAGTCCTTTAATTGTGAGATTAACACAAGTCTTCCCCTTCTTGCTTTTCCTTTATATACCATGAATTTTGCAGCTGTGCTGCTCACTCCCTAGCTTCACGGGGAGAGATACAGTGTATGCACCCACCACCAGAGTACACAGCACTTGGCTTATGCTGCATTCTGCTGATGTGGGCTCCATCCTTTCTGGGGCGGGGGGGATGTGTACAGCAGCTGCTCTGTGCTGCCATTACACAGGGGTGTACAAAGCATCTTTTCTTAGGCTCTTCCAACACTGTGCAGGCCTGATTGTCTCTCTCTTTAAGGTATGAATTAATATTAACTAGCTTCGACTTCTGATTAGTTTTAAAATGTTCTGCAGTTAATAGCAAGGAGGCCTTTATCATGTGATAAATTGTAGCTACATTCCTTCTTTGCATCCCACAGGGCAGTCAT